TTTGTTCTTTTGACTTAGGATTGTCTTGGAGATGCGGGCTCTTTTTTTATCCACCATGATCAAGTGGGCTTCATCCCTGGGATGCAAGGCTGGTTCAACATTTGCAAATCAGTAAACATAATCCAGCATATAAACAGAACCAAAGACAAGAACCACATGATTATCTCAATAGATGCAGAAAAGGCTTTTGACAAAATTCAACAGCCCTTCATGCTAAAAATGCTCAATAAATTCGGTATTGATGGAACGTACCTCAAAATAATAAGAGCTATTTATGACAAACCTACAGCCAATATCATACTGAATGGGCAAAAACTGGAAAAATTCCCTTTGAAAACTGGCACAAGACAGGGATGCCCTCTCTCACCACTCCTATTCAACATAGTGTTGGAAGTTCTGGCTAGGGTAATCAGGCAAGAGAAAGAAATCAAGGGTATTCAGTTAGGAAAAGAAGAAGTCAAATTGTCCCTCTTTGCAGATGACATGATTGTATATTTAGAAAATCCCATCGTCTCAGCCCAAAATCTCCTTAAGCTGATAAGCAACTTCAGCAAAGTCTTAGGATACAAAATTAATGTGCAAAAATCACAAGCATTCTTATACACCAGTAACAGACAAACAGAGAGCCAAATCAGGAATGAACTTCCGCCAAATCAGGAATGAACTTCCATTCACAATTGCTTCAAAGAGAATAAAATACCTAGGAATCCAACTTACAAGGGATGTAAAGGACCTCTTCAAGGAGAACTACAAACCACTGCTCAGTGAAATAAGAGGACACAAACAAATGGAAGAACATACCATGCTCATGGATAGGAAGAATCAATATCATGAAAATGGCCATACTGCCCAAGGTTATTTATAGATTCAATGCCATCCCCATCAAGCTACCAATGAGTTTCTTCACAGAATTGGAAAAAACTGCTTTAAGTGGATAATCTTAAACCTACCTATAGTGGTATTTTTATACAGCAATTATGGTATACCCTTCTCTGACCAGAAGTAGGAAACAGCTTTTTTTTTCTTTTCTTTTCTTTAATTTTCTTTTCTTCTTTTCTTTTCAATTGTGTTTCTAGAGAGATGAATTCCACAATAATATTTAGGATTTCCAGAAATATAAAGCAGAGTTTGATTAGTTAGTAAAGAATTTGAGTTAATATAATCCACTCTGTAAATTATGAAGTGTTATGAGTCATTTTCTTCCTATCGAGAAAATCAGGTTATTTTCTTTCTCATATATTATTTCTACATATCCTAGGGGTTAAAATAAAAAGAAAGGACAGGATATATACTTTGTGAGGGACTAGAATCCTTAAAATAAAATCTTACCATGGAAGAAATAAATATTTTCAGTAAGAAAATAATACCAATGGACATCACTAATGCAAAATTAAATATAACTTATTTAATTTCAAAGTTAAAAATTTTTCAAGGTATATTTTATGGTCTCTGATATACACAAATTTCTATTTTATTGTTTTATTTTGATTGCAATGTTACTACAATATTATATCATGTGTTACAATAATGATTTGGATCTATTTGTTCAAACTATTTCTCTTGTGTTTAACGATCTCTTTCTTTCTATCTCTCTTTGTCTCTTCTAAGCCTCAACAAAGTGCTTCTGGAAACAATGAGAGCTCTCAAGTTGGGTCAACAAAGGAAGGAAATCCGAGTACCATTGCCTGTGACTCTCAGGATGTAAGAAAAACTTAAGATGGTTTTTACAGTATTAGACATGAGAACAAAGCATAAGCAGTTTAACAATTCTAATCTATGCCACCATGAAACTTACTACTTATATGTAATATCTACTATCTAAGGATTGTACTTTTAAATATAAGAAAGTAAATGTTCTTTTGGTCTGAATCAGGTAGGTGTTCCAGTAAGCATTGCAACCAGATTCTCAGGACAACTAAGAATATGAGTTGTTAGAGAGGTAAGACGATGACCACAGGGTAAACAAGGTGGTCATTCCCACAGCTACATGATAGAAAGCTGTTAAAATGTAAAAAACAAAAACCAACAAAAAAAACTTATAGGATATATTTCTCCATGTAAAGCAAATACACTCAGCATACAGAGACATCATGGTAGAGGAAGGGAGATTCATTTCCTTCAAATGATAGGAAATATGGAATTTGTTCAATGAGTCTTTTCACTCATTAAAAGTGCAATGGAATTCTATTTGTTTTGAACTTTGGCAAAATTAAGCTAATGGATCTATTACATTTAGATTTGAGAACCAGCAAATGACAGCAATTGTGTTGAACAGATTCAAAATTAGGCTTCAATCCAACTTGAAAAGTATCTGATGAAACATTTATGCTTGAAAGAAATCAGGCTGCAGCTAAAAATATATAATAATGATAAGGAGGAACAGAAAAGTAAGTTAAACAAGTGATCTCTTTTTTCTCTTCTGGCTGCCAAAGTGGATTAAGAAAAATGAATTACTCAACAGTTTTGCCTTCAATTCTTTGTTTATTTAAACATGTATCCAAACTGTACAATTTAGAAAATAAAGTTAATAAGAAGTATAAACAAAATGCTTGAATTTTACTTCCAAAGGAGAAGAGAGTCAAAAAGGCTTTGGGCAGGAAGGAAGATTTTTACTGTAGTTTGAAGCATGGATAAGTATTTGACAGTGAGCAAATTTGCAGAGGTAGGAAAATATCACAGTGGTATGGCTAAAAATACATAGTACCCAAAATGGCGGGATATGTGCTTACAACAATCACTGAAGACTAGAGAGTGAGGGGCCTTGGGTTCCCAAGCTGAGTTTGATTTGGACTAAGGAGCTAGTTCAGGTTTTCAGATGCTTGTATTCAATCGAGTGATAAGACCATGATGTTAATTTTAAGGATGGTATTTTTATTTCTTGATATATTTTGTTGAAACACCATAAAAACATGTTCTCACTGGAGGCAAAATGGAAAATTTATGTGTGGTTTGCTAGGATTCCCCAAAGTAACATTCTAGTCTACTTTTCTTATCGAAGCCTGCTTCAAATCATAAATTGTTTTATTCATACATTATTTGTTTCTCTCTTCTACTTTTGTTGTTCTCCTTTGTTAGTGATAATTCTTCTGTCCTCAGTAAGTTCCAGAAGCAGATACTATCTTGTTCTGGTCTCAGTCTGGATCTGGGGCTCTTCAAAAAGCTGCCTCCACCAGCACAAACATAAATGTTCTTTCACTAACCTGACTTCTGTCCTCTAGACTTGTGTTATTGGAGTCTCTACTCCTAAGAAGCTACACCTTTTAGTACATAGAGTGTTCAGTATTCAGAGCCTGCAGATTCAATTATAGATAATAATGAAGAAAGTAATACAATGAGTGACATAAACCAGGTGTGAGTAATAGGAATTAGTGGGACATGCATGAGCATCAGTTTTCAAGTTCTAGGACCAGTACTTCTTAGCTCTGTCTCCAGAATAGTATCAAGCGAAGAGTACTTACAAAATACTAATGCCCACAACCCATTGCAGAAAAATTACCTCAGCACCTCAGTGGGCAAGGTCTAGACATTAGTTGTGTCATTCCTCCAGATGATTCAAATATATAGGTCATTTTTCACTAATAATAGATTTCCCCATTCATAAGAACCATCTGGGGAGCTTTTAGAAAGTCAGATTCTGAGCAATTAATCTGGACATTTTTAATAAATAAAACTAGGGAGACTTTATTTTTTGCCTTGTCTAAATTTAGCCATAATATTCTGATTTGCATTAAATATCGTGAAATGTATTGCTTCCATTTAATGTAGCAATATAAAAATACTGACTCTACCAACCTAGAGACTTAAGCTCCAGTTTGGGTTGCTTTATTGAATGCCCAAACTGAATAAGAAAGCAGAATTTAATTTCATTTTTCAAAATCACAAAATAAAATTATTTATCACATTTCTACCTTTATATTTTATCTTGGGGTGTGTTTCAGAATCTTAGCCTATGCCTTTATGTGATTTTCCTTTAATAAGATATTGAATGAATGCTATTTAGTTTTATACAAAGACAAAAAGTAGGATATAATGTAGTTTTACTTTGTTTTTAATGTCCTTACTTAATAAAATTGATAGTAGCTTTATTCCTATTTCTTGTTTTAATTCGATTTTCAGTTGTAATGAATTCAGAAATCCAAAAACCACTGAATTAGCAAATTTTAAAAATAATTAAAGTGAGATGAAATAGGAACCTGAATTTAGACAATCACGGGAACAACTGGGAACAAGCAATGAAAAGTCTATTGCAAAGAGAGAGCCATAGGATTCTGTGATCAAATGAAGATATAGGTAACATGAGCACCAAATATGTGTTTTATTGACTGAAATAATTGCATCATCATTATCAAGAAAGAAAACTAGAATAGGTGATATTTTTGGTTAACATTTTTCTATTTACTTCTGAACAGAAGAGATAGATACTCTGTTAATAATTAGAATGGGTAAAAGGCACAATGAAGATAACTGTTTTTGAAAAATATAATTTTAAAAATAGCTTTATTGAGATATAACTTACATACCATAAAAATTCACCCATATAAGTGCATGTTTCAATCATTCATCATAGTTGCTGAGTCCAGGACTGTAATCCAGTTTCAGAACATTTTCATCTCCCTAATATGATCCCACATGCCTTTTTTTTTTTTTTTTTTTTTTTACAATGAGTCCCTGTCCCTACTAAGCCTCAGGCAACCACAAACACAGTTTCTTTTTGTATTTGTTTGTACCTTTTTATTGCTGGAAAACATTTTATTGTATGGTGTACCGCAGTTCTTTATCCATTCACCAGTTGATGTATTTTGGCTTATTTTAAATTTGTAGCTATTATGAAAAAATGATGCTATGAACATTTGCATAAATCACTTTGTATATGTTTTAATCTCTGTTGAGTAGACACCTAGATGTAGAATTGCTGGATTTGATTATAAGTTTATGCTTATACTGAAAAATGGGTACATTCTTTCCCCCTTTGAACAAACACAAGTGGTGCTTCTCTATTCTCCCATCTTCACTATTAAAACCTCATGGTTCTCCGAAAGGTAAAATTCTCCATAGTGAGGGCTCACCCTACCTTAAACTAAGCCTCTAGGAGTCTTTTTTTTTTTTTTTTTCCTTGTTGGGGGACGGCGTCTCGCTCTGTCGCCCAGGCTGGAGTGCAGTGGCCGGATCTCTGCTCACTGCAAGCTCCGCCTCCCGGGTTCACGCCATTCTCCTGCCTCAGCCTCCCGAGTAGGAGTCTTTATATTTCATGGTAGTCCATACTTGGCCTCCAGAAATGTATTAAATGTATTACAACAATGTTGCCATCAACTACTGGCCCCGGCAGCTTTCACTCAGGTAGCTTGTCTGTGTTCTCTGTATTCACTGCGTCCCCAGTTTTTGGGGTGGTAGTTTTTCTGCAACATTAACTCTTTGATACATCTAAGAAAAGTTATTAATTATCAGACCGTTCAACCTTTTGCTTGTTGTGAAGGTGCAAGTGGAGACTTCCAAGACCTTTATGTGTCAGAGCAGTACCTGAAGTCCTAATTCGTGTCTTCTGAAACACAGAAGCTTTTAATTTCAATAAAGTTCAATTCGTCATTTTATTCTTCATGCTTTTGATATCTCTAAAGAAATATTTACCTGTTTAAGCATACAGTATTTTTTTGTTGCTTTCTCATGGTTTCTTATATAATGTGTTTGCTTTTATTTCTTATATTTAGATCAATATTCTACTTCAATCTTTGTGTGTGTGTGTGTGTGTGTGTGTGTGTGTGTGGATGGTGTTAGGTAAGGTTTTGCATTTATTATTTGCATGTTGTTATTCAGTTGTCCCCGTCTTTATAACATATTTTTAAGGAATACCTTTTTTTTAATTGAACTTCTCTAGCATCTTTGTCAAAAAAAACTGACCACAACTTTTCACCATATTGGCCAGGATGGTCTCGATCTCTTGACCTCGTGATCCACCCGCCTTGGCCTCCCAAAAGTGCTGGGATTACAGGCATAAGCCACTGGGCCTGGCCTACTCTATAATCTTTTAAAATTTCTTTCAGCAATGTTTGATAGTTTTTCAGGGTGCAAGTCTTGCATTGCTTTTGTCTTTATTTTTCTGAAGTACTTTTTTCTTTTTCATACTATTGCAAATGTAGTATTTTAATTGCATTTCCAGATTGTTAACTGCTAGTGTATATAAATGCAAGTAATTTTTGTATATTGATCCATCAGAATGAGGAGTTTTAAGTGACTGTGAGCTCTGAGTAAAACTGTGATGAGATTTGCACATCACCTATAGGTAGTTGAAGTATTGATTTTAAGTAGCTATGATGCTACATCGAGAATAAAGGAGACAAATCTCTTATCAAATTTTGCTTATCAGTCTACACTGATAAATTCTGTTTCATTTTAGAAGTAACACTTTGAGGTTCAACAATGACGAATGGAAAGTGTTTTCTAACGCTTGAGGTAGAAGGCTGAAGAAAACCTAGATGTGGATACTGACTTTGCTGTTTCCTAACATTATTGCTCTGGGAAGGGACTTTGTATTCAGATCCCTTTATCAATATAAGGTAGATGAAGATTTTTCAAATTTTAGCATACTAAGAATCACCAAGTCAACTGGTAAAACTGCTTATGCTAAAGATCCATTCCCATGTATTATTAATCCATTGGTCAGGGAAAGAGCCCAGGAATGTGTATTATTGTAATAATCCCACGTA